GGGGCATGGTGGTGAGCCCGCGCCCTTCTGCTCCCCCGGGGCACCGCAGCCTGGTGCCACGCCGGCAGCCCGCAGCCCCGCCTCGCTGGAAGCAGACCGGTGCAAATAAAGTTCAAGGTAACTTTACAGATCAGGGTCATGTTCCTTTCCAACCGCCCATGTCTATAAAAAGCAGACAATGCCTCGCTGTGTGGCTGAAATGCTCTCCCCTGCTGCTGCTGTGTAGCTCCACGCGCGCTGTTATTCCTGCCGTGTGGAACTCTGGCTCTATGGCTGCCGAGAGCCCAGCTGAGAAATCTGGGAAATGTGAGTGTGAGACACACCAGGCTAAGAGCATCCTGTACCAGATCCTTAACAAAGAGCGTGGAAGTGAGACCAAGTGGCACCAGCAGTACCGCAGTCCCCTCCGTGCCTTGGGAAGCAAGGGCTGCTCTTGTGCGGACGGGAGAAGAGCTGTCCTGAAAACTCCTGAAGCCACGTGCAGAAGAGCTTCTGAAGTGCTCTTGAAGACTTTAACTTTTATTAGAAACTTGCCTTCATTTTATCACGTGCCTTGGGAGGATCAGCTTGTCCTCATACAGCAGAACTGGTCCCCTCTTTTTGTCCTGGGCATGGCACAAGAATGGGAGGATTTTGACCTCAGAGAGCTTTCAGCCCCTAGTTTATTGAAAAAAATCCTCCTCAATCAGTCTTTGACAGCTAGCAATGAACTGGGCAGCTCGTCACTGGGAGCATCTTTAGCAGAAGTTCAGAAGATGAAGAATTTATTGTGGAAATTCTGGGACCTGGACTTAAGTGCAAAAGAGTATGCTTATCTTAAGGGAATTATTCTTTTTAATTCTGGTAAGTCGTCCTGAAAATTACACAGGTGATTATGTGCCTAGAAGGACATTCGGTATTTTCATTTGCGTATAGACAAATGTTTAGTTTTAACCTTTTCTATGAATATAGCTACATGGTCTCAAAAATCTATATTCCACAATTTAATGATTTTCTGCCTGAATCAGTTTATTTAGCTTCCTTGGATGTGTGCAGTAGGTCACCCACTGTAAGCCAAACCAGTTTCTATTAGACAAATTTTAAGTCACAAAGAATTAACTGTGTCACTTCAAACTGATTTCCAGTTCAAAGGTAATACAGCAGCCTCATCCGTAGTACGGCAAAGGAGAGATGGTACACGGGTACCTGAGCAGTATTTTAACACAGCCTTCCTCTGCAGCAAGAAAGCTGGAGAAGACAAAATAATCTATATCATCTTTTTTGCATCAATGAGGCAAAAGATCCCTGCACTGAGGTTACGCAGCTTTTATTTGTTTATTTATCCTCTAGCATCTCTACATTCCAAGCCTGGGACAGCGGGCACGGAGCAAACTCCAGGCTAGTGACTGCATCCTCTCACTTCTGATGCCAAATTCAGGCGCTTTAGGAAAGTTGTCTAGGTCAGCACCACGGAGCACGTGAGTCATTAAAAGCCGAGCTCTAAGTCCACCAAAGCAGATGGAAAGACTTCTTGACTCCAGGCTGCTCTGGCTTGGCTCCCTTGCCTCCAGGCTGCTCGGGCTCGGCTCCCTGACTCCTTCCGCGGCAGTCACTGCTGTTGGCTGCACTGCCAGCAGCGTGCTATACTTGGGACTGCACCAAAAGGATACTTGGATGCTTCCGTCATTCCACGATATTCCTTGCGGTGAATGGTTTACAGGCTGCTCAAAGGCTACACTGACTTCATATTTGTTTCCAGTAGGATTCAAATTCTGATGCTTGAGGTGTAATGCCATCCAGATGTTTGGTATTCTCTTGTGCGTCTGTGTTGCAGCATCAAACCAGTGGAGTTGATTTCAGTGCAAGTTATTTTCTCAGTTTTTCACAATAAAATCAGGCTGAAAGGAACCACTGGTTATATCCAGGGTGATGATAAGAGGAGAAATCTCTCATCTGCAGCGGCTTACACAGTTTAACTAGCAGGCATTTTTATTGTCTCTGTGGATAAAAAGCGATTTTCAGCTCAGGATAAAGCAGCAGAAGCAGCGTTACGTTCTGGATTTGTGCCTTCCAACGCCTGCTGCTCCACCGGGTGCCGTACGGGAGGCCCAGCAGCCCTTCAGGGCGGCTCCAGATGCTGCCCAGAGTTTTGGTGGCACTTCCTAGTCCTTAGGTGGGATGGCCCTATTCCCTGGAGATGCCCTTCTCCACGGGCTGCAGAAGGCAGCTGGCAGGACTTCAGCGAAGCCTGGATTGACTCCAGCAGAAACAAAGAGTCACAGTCACAGTCGAACTCTGGGCTGAAGCAGGTACTCCAGGCTTATGCACAGCCCAAAGTGCCCTTTCTCTACCTGTTTTGCTGCAGACAACTCCATACAGCTGTTGTTTCACAATCACTATTTTTAAATAGTTTTTAAACACTTTCCGCCAAAGTCAGAAAATGTTTTCTACGCACATGCAGCACATTTTCAGCTGCATCCAGACCCTCCAGAACACATTGCCACCCCTGCTCTTCGCCGGGGTGCTTTGGCTGGGTGGCTTCAGAGAGGTCAAAGTGTGCATGAGTGAAGGGTCCAGCTGCAAGACCTTCTCTAGGACCCAGGCAATAAGTCAAAGGAAGGAGCAGGTAGGACTGTCCCACCATGCATGAACAGCACAGAGCGAGGTGGAACTGCTCTTGTTGCCTTTGACAATGGTCTGAAAAGCAATGGGAACCGTGCAGTGAAGAGATGGGAATCGTGAAAAACAGTGCTGTTACTATATCAGTGCCATATATATATATTCATGGAGTTATACATACATATATATATTTTTTTCCATCAAGGCTGTGACAGGACTTCTGTTGAAAAAGATGCTGTTTAACAGTCTTAAGAGGTTTACAGTTCATCTGGAAACATATGTTTGACCGAATATTATTACAACAGATGTCAGAACAAGAAGTTTCTCATTATTTGTAAATTAAAACCAGTGTTTGATTACATATATAAGAGGACCAAATGGGGAAATTAAGCAAATTTGAAGGGATATAAACAATTTCAATTGCATCCTGAGTATACAAAATCCTGACAACTTCCTTTCCATGAAAAATCTAACACCTGGAACCATTCTCACAGCTTGTAGCTGGTGGTAATCCTGGGGGAGCAGATGACATTTCCAAACCCTGCATTTCTGGCTAGCCTGGTTGTAGGCTTTGCCGAGGCTTCTTCTCCTCTGTTGACGATGTCTAGAGAGAAGAGAACTGCTGCAGACTGACAAAGGGCAGCCAGCCACAGACTGAAAAAACCCCAACAAGGCTGGTTTTGCCCTAGTACAGGGCACTAGGCAAGAAGGCAGGACCTCCCACACGTCAGCGAATGGCGCTGTGTGAAACACCCCCTGGTCTAAGCTGTTCAGATCCCAGGGAGGTATGGAGTCTGTCATTTTGAAAGATGGTAAATGGGCCTGGAGTGTGCGCTGGGAGATTGGTTAAAATAAGTCGTGGGAGGCAGAAGAGACAGAAACCAAAACTTGGGGATTCATGCTACCCATGTCCAGGCTGCAGCAATTCTAGGAAAGGAAAGATGGTGCTGTCCTCAGGTGGTGAGGGCAGGAGGCAACAGGTTGCTGAGAGCTACATGACAAGGCAATCGCACCAGAGTCAAAGGACAAACACGGGGTGTCCTTTGAACTGAGCCCTGGCACCCACAAAGACCCCCACTGAGCCAGCAGGTTTGAAGTCACGTGCTATGGGAGGTGTGAGATTGAGGCTCAAGACCACGACTCCATAAGGCAGAGACCTCTCCCTCTTCAGAAATGACTGAGGAACGGGACTACAAAACCAGGAAATGCAATTATCTCTCTTACTCCCGTGGGTCATGATACATCTCACTGGGAACCTTTATGCTCTTTTCAGACTGTAAATGAAGATATCTAGATAGCACGGTGAACCACAGTGCCCCAGCTTAGTCTAGCAAGCAGGGGCAACAGTGAGGAGGGAGATGGGGCTGGGTAGACTGGAAGCCTATGTCTTCAGACTGCCAGCCTGCACACTGCTCCAAACCACCGCCTCCATCCTCCTGACGTTACCTACCTATTTTAGATTAGAGCTGGAAAGTTCCCACCTACTCAGACTACAGTCTCAGCATTGTTTGGTGGGTAGACAGCACTATAAAGCTTCTTCTCCATCTGTGCTGAGTCAAACTTACCTCCTGTTCCCATTTCAAACCTGGAATTCATGTAATGGGCTAGATTCTCATATGCTTACAATGCTGCTCAATGTTCTTTCAAATTGCTGAACTACACATATCTTCTTTTTCCAAAAAAAGATATTTAGAAATGTTTAGAAAGTTTTAATCATTTTCTAGAGAAAGTAGTACTATAAGCTAGAAAGCCAGACACCCATCAATATGAAGGGCACAGAACGAAAGTGTTTACTCAAGATTTATTACTTTGCTTTTTGTTTTGACAGGATGCCATGCCCTAAAATGTCTCCCCTATGTACAAACACTGCAGCAGGAAGCTCAGCAAGCCTTGATGGAGTTTATCTCAACAATGTTCAACAGGAACCTAGGCAGGTTTGCTTGCATTCTTCAGCTAATCACCTCTCTTCGAGACATTGATGCAGATGCTATTGAAGAGCTCTTCTTCAGGCCCATCCTAGGAGAGGCCACCCTAATTGTATTACTTCTAGAAACCCTACACATGAAGCCAAACTGGCTTTCAAAACAGATGACATCTGTACTCTCAAATACCTATATTTGAAGAGATGAGAGGATTTTAAGAGCTAAACACATTTCAAACAAATCATTGATGCATCTTTGTAAGCCATACATGTTTTTTGTATGATGAAGTAATTTTGTAACATTTTAGAATTAAAAGCAGAGAAACCTCAGCATTTCATAATTCCGTGTGCTTTCAAAAACCTTTAGTCTAACGTATTCAAAGATTGTCTAGGAGCACCAGCATACTTTCCAGTTGTGCTAAGTTCAATTGTATTATTTCTAGTGAGCATTTTTACAGCTGTTTAAACCTATACTATACGCTTTTGGCTTTCCAGAAGTTTCTGCTTTTAGGAAAAGGGGCAGTGGTAAATCATATTCAGTTCATCAGCAGTTGAAGATGAATAGATAAATAAAAGGCTGATCCATGGCAAAATCAGTATAAATCCTTCCTTTTCCTGGGATGTGATTCCCTGATCCCAACCTCTTTTCTGTGCCACTGAGAACTCTAGTCCTTGGCTCTAATTGCTTGATGGGGCTCCCCCTTACTGACTGCTTTCTTATAGGTTCCTTTTCTAAGTCTGGCAGTAAACTGTGGGCATTAAATCTCTCTCCCATTATCCACAAAGTCCTTCCCTGACTAAGAAACTGAACAATATGATTCAAAAATTTGTCGACTAGACAAAAGCCATTGTTCAGGATTGTTTCCAGGATGGGATAACAAAGGCTGAAAGCTACTATGTTCTGCCATAAGCAGCAGAACTAATGGAGCCCAGTTTCCTACACATTTAAGACCTTTCCCCTTTAGCCCTCCCAACACCCTTTTGTAATTACCCACACTTCCCTCTAAACAGATGGCAGATGTTCCCTGGACAGCAGAAATGCTGAAATATGGTTTCCTACAGATGCATACAATCTGTTTCTCCATCTCTCACTGCAAGAGTTCCACGTCTCCACCTCCAAGTGTGCTATGGCATGCCCCATAACATCTTGCTGTCTCCTGCCTGTCTGGCTGGAGAAGAGGCAGCACGTGTTCGGGTTGGTGCCAAGCTATGTGTGTGCTGACTCGTTGTCCGTCAGGATGAAAAAAACATCGAGCTTATACTTCAGCTGCAGCAAGGGAAGCTATTTCTATCTCTTTCCTGTCCCATTCCTCTCCCAATGGTTTCCATGACACTTAGAGGAATCAATTTCTGATTTTTTTCAGTAGTCTCTTCAGTCCCATCTAGTTTTGTTTGGCAAGGGGGCTCAAATTCACCAAACAGGGACTGACAGGCAGGCAGACAGATGGGAGGACAAAGAGTAAGATAGCTTAATCCACGCTTCCTTAGAAAGTCAAGCTAAAATTGTAAGAAAAATAACTCACATATATATACACACACACATATTTACATACAGAGATGGATGTTCAAAGGACTTTAAAGAAAAAATAAGTTTAAATAATAAGAAGAGTTTACTACCTACAAGTTTTGATCAAATATCACACATTTTTCCCCCACTTAGATAACTGAGGAATAAATTGTAAAACTAAAGGGAAAAAAGCAAACACCAAACAAGACAAACCAACTAAGCCCCTGGGTGCTAGTGATCATGAAATTAACAACCTTTACAGTAAACATGACTCACCTTCCTATGCTACAAGCTAACCAAACCTTTCAGAAATTTTTGGACTGATGTTTTCCACGGAAAGCCTTCAGGCTCTCAGTTTTCAGTCGGTTTTTGTTAAAATGGTTCAACAGTACTGTCACAGATCAAGTGGTGTGCGGTAACAGGATATTCCGTGGTTAGTTGTTCATGTTAGTGAACAGAAACATTAGTTCCAGAGATCTGCTTTTTGTCTGTTCTTTTGAAGATTCACTCAAGCCGTATACATCAAAACATCGTATGCGTACATTTGGTATCGGCAATATCATACGGAAGCAGACATACGAGTCCAAGCCGTATACATCAAAAAATCGTATGCGTACATTTGGTATCAGCAATATCATACGGAAGCAGACATACGAGTTTCTCTCTCTCAAACCCCTCCCAAGCTCCAACAGCTTCTACCTTCTGGCTACCACATGCTGCTACCACATTTGCACAGGTGACAGCGCGGCGCAGGCCAGGGCTGCAGGAGCGGGACCCGGCTGGCCGTGCACATGCAGCAGCTTCTCCAACACGAGTGGGAAGAAGATCCCTGCTCTGATCTCTGTGCTACCACTGCTGGTGTGAAGGGAGCGGAAAAGGGAAGAAACACCTTCAGCTCAGTGGGAACAGTGAGGAATTTTGGATGAAGGTAAAAAGTACAGAAAACATGTAAAATGAGAAATAGTCACGGATGGTTAGAGACAGGAGCCAAAAGAGAGATCAAAAAAAGCAGGAGAGGGGGACAGATGCAGCTTACTAATACAGCTAATTTCTGTCTAGTGTCCAGCTTACCTTCATAAGACGAAGGCCTGCTCAGTGACTCACCAACAGCCTGAACCCAGGACAACATTCACAGTTCAGTAGCCTGAATTTCAGGCTACTGAGAGCACATCAGACAGTCTGCTCACAGCTTCACTTCTTATCAAAACCTGCTTCAAGGTCTTTGACTTTATCTTCAAGGTATACAGTGGCTTCAATTCAACTTTCTTTGAATTGGAGGGCACAATGCCAACAAGTTCCCATGGCTTGGCTCACCTGGAAGACAGTGCTATATTTGCTAACTACTCTTTTAGCCTGACGGGTGTCTGTGTAACCAGCTGCTGAAAAGAATGCCTAGACTCCACAGTGAGGAGCACGGGCAACATCTTGGGTTTTCAAGACGGCGTTACTTCCTACCATGAAGGCAAATACTAAGCTTCAGAGGGAACTCCCACAAGATCTGATACTCATGGACCTCACCTCATTGTGCTCTGAATACAAGATTCAGTCCTTCTATAGGTCTTTAACAAAACACAGCTTCTTTAGTACGTATGCATGCAATTAAAAAACTCAAAAATCTTGAGCTAAAGCTATACGTAAACAAACATTCCCTGTCTCATGAATGTTAATAATCATTTGCTTGATATCCTGTTCAAAAGGGCTGAGATACTATTGTCTTGCTGAGGACAGAATAAGAATCTGTATCTCATGCAATTAAGTGGTACCTGAAGGTGGAGGCTGTGAGGGTACAACAGGCAGGCAGGAACAGCAGAGGTGAGGGATCATGGGCAGAGGTTAGAAGCAAAAGCAGGAGCCCTCTTTGCAAGAAAGAAAGGCACAGCACAAGACAGCCTTTAGAAATCCAGGGAAATAATGCACTGCAATGGAGAAGCAGAGATAGAAATGAACAGAAGGCAAGAGGAAGATAAGGGAAAATTCCCCATCCCACTGTGCCCCACCCCGCCCCCCCCCCCAAAAAAAAAAAAAAAAAAAAAACACAAAACAAGAC